TGTGCAAGTGCAATAGGTGGTTTAAACCAACCCGGGGTCAGAGCAGGGGAATCCTTGCTGCTGAAGTCATAATGGAGGTCACTTGCTGAAAAGGGTGTGTTTGTCTGAGATTGCAGTGTGCAGTTGCGTGTGCAAAGGGGACGCTGCAGTGTATTTGTTTGAGACCCAGAAAAAGAGCCAATCAAGTTTGTGGGCAAGTACTTAAACATCTTTTTTCCAGGGCCGGGAATGTGCAACATGCTCTGCTGACGCAGTTTGCGCGAGACCGTGCCCGGCCTAGCAGTGTCGATCCTCCAATGGTGGTGGGCGAGCTCCTGCAATGGGGGGCGCCAAAGAGTTTGATCCTTGTGTGGGTCCTTCTTGGTTTCTTACCCTTTGCTAGCCAGACCGAGGACTGTTGCAATTATCCAAGCTGATTGGCGTGAGATTCAAGGGCTGAGGGGAGGGTTAAATTGTGGTTGCTCCCCCGCAGGAAAGTCAGTACTTGGAGCTGTTCGCTGGAGCTGGGGAAGTGTCTGCAGCTCTTAGAGCCGAAGCTTGACTCAAACCGTTGCAGAGGCCCAGAGCGGTGACCGTTTCGTTTTTGTTGAGACAACTTAGGAACAAGCTTTTGGCTCAGCTCTGGATATACAGTATTCCCCGTATAGCATGGACCTGTGTGAAGCTAGTGGATTTCTGCCAGGGGCTTACCTTTGCTTGTGTGTGTTTGTGAACGTGTTCAGTTGAGACTGGCTTTGAGGCTGGCACTAAATGAGATTCGTCGCCTTCGGCCACGTGCGGTGGCAGTGATAGCGTTGTGCTGTTCTTCTTACAGTGTAATGTGGCTCCCTAAGTTGTACATAACCATCAATTTTGGAACCTCTTGCTCCCGTGCCCAGGTCGAGACACACATCCGGCAGATCCATCATCGAGCCGGAAGGACATCGGGGTTACTCTTTTGTGAAGGTGGGCAACCTCTTAGGGTCCAGAACATGTCTTTTGATACTCTGCCTTTGCTTCAAACAATGCCGATGGCTACTTGAGCAACCAGCGCAAAGTGCTTTCCCTGACCATCCACGGTGGAAATGGGTCTGCGAGCGAGCCCAAGCTCTTTGGTTGAAACAGGGTAATGGTTTTTCCTGGTTTGGAAAGATATGTTTTCTGGAGACAGCAACCGTATTTTAACCCCCGTCGATCCCAAGGTATGGAGGGGGTATTTCTACATGGGCCGATTTGGGGCTGGCACACCAAAGCGTCATGTGGTGTGGTCCTCCGATGAGCAGTTTGTGGCCGAGCTGGTTCGGCAGGGGGGCTACCTGAGCAAGGCTGAAAAAGATGCTCTTTGTGGGGCAAAAACTGCCAGGAGTTACGAAGACCCCCGCACTGGCCAAAGGCGACATGTTGGCGTCAAGAAAACGTTGAAGCAGTCACAGAAGCTTAGTGCACACAAAGGTGGCAATTTGATTCCCTCAGTTTGTTTTAGAACAGGTGGAAACAACAGTTCTAAACCGCAGTATGTGTTTTGCTTTGTGTTCTTAGCTGGCTGTTGGCTGGGTAAGGAAAAAACAGGATATGAAAAGTGTGGTTTCGCACCCCTTCAAAAACATTTCTTCTTGCAGCGCCATCTCAGGACATACACTCCATTGTTTGGGGCGACGATTGCGCGCTACTTCCGGGAGCGCTCTCTGGAGGAGCCTGTGGTGGAAACTCAGTTTTTTTTGGTTTCCTGACAGGGAACCGTGATTTTTCACAAACGAATACAACAAAGCCTTAGTGCAAATTGCACTGCTTTCTGATCAGGATTTTGCACCAGCTCCACTCAATGTGGTGGAGGTGGATTGGCGAAGAACCGACTTTGAGTTGTTCATGGAGGGTCTCGACATTAACAATGTCAAGTTTGAGGATTTGGGTGATCAATGTGAAGATGTTTCTTGGCTGCTTCAACTGTGTTCCCGTATGTCCCATAATCCTGAACCTCCCCACGCAAGGCTGGCCTCTGCGATGTGCTGATCTATGTCCTGGGCTGCAAGCATCTCCGACCACCGGGCCAGTGGGAAACTTGGCTTATTTAATTGTGGGCGGGGGGGGGGGGCTGGGCTTGTGACACATGAGACACAAGACGGCATGGATCCTGAAGGAGAACATATGGCGTTTTCAAGTGCCCTGAGATGGCTAAGCCCTTCAAAATGAAGCCTTTATGAAGCCAAAACAGATGCCTTTGGTCAATGGTTTCCAACCCTGATGGAAGCCCCATTCATGGAGCCCGTTTGCTGTTTGACACTCCCAAACAGATCCCTTTTTCCGAGCAGCCCCTCAACTAACAAATGAAGGCATGCAACCACCCTCAAAACTGAGGCCAATCCCTTTCCCACCAGCCTTAGCTCAAACTCGCTCTCCCAAAAAATGAGAGGTTAAACCTTTTGGGACCTTTGCTGAGGGAGCTTTGCTGAGATAGGATTTGAGAACAGGAAAACCAGAAGGTGAAAATCGGTTTTGAACAACTGACGAAAGGTATGTGTTTGAGAGGGAGCAAAACTAGAGTAGGTAACTGGTGATCGCCTCAATTGGTCGAACCGAACCTGTTTGCAGCAGCTTTTTGAGCTCAATCTATCTCAATCTGTAACATCAGAAACATGGGGCCGCCTGCGCGCGACATCCCGGGAAGGTGGATGTGGGTGTGGGTTCCGGAAGTGGTGCGGGCGGAGAAGGAGCCGGAGAAGGAGCCGGGTTCGCTGCGGGAGAAGGAGAAGCCAGTGGTGAAGCCGGCCTTCAAAGCACGTCCTCATCCTCCAAGCACGCCGCCTCCATCTGCGCCTGCGCCTACACAGCGAGCCAGCATGTCCACGGATGTTTCATCCGAATATGATGACGACGAGGATGAGGAGGAGGAGGAGGATCAGCCGCGCAGCCACGATGTTGTGGTGATGAAGAGAAAGAGCTCAATGCCTGGCAATGGGCCACCGGAGGTCAAGAAGAAGAAGCCCGAGCAGGAGATCGCCGTCAAGGGCGTGAAAGTCGAGCTCAAGAGCGTTGAGAGGCGTGGGCAAAGAGCCGACAAGGGTGAGCCAGCCAAGATGGGGGACAGGCGTGAGCGGGGCAACGAGAAGGGCAAGAAGGGCGAGCAGGGCGAGAAGGGGGAGAAGGGCGAGCAGGGCGAGAAGGGGGAGAAGGGCGAGAAGGGCGAGAAGGGCGAGAAGGGCGAGAAGGGCGAGAAGGGCGAGAAGGGCGAGTTGAAGGGCGAGAAGGGCGAGTTGAAGGGCGAGAAGGGCGAGTTGAAGGGCTCGGTGAGGGGTGAGGTCAAGGGCGATTTCAATAAGGGCGACGGTGGCGAGGGTGAGCTCAAGGGCGCGAAGGGCATGCGCAAGGGCAAGGGCGAGTTCTTCAAAGGCACGCGTCCGGAGATTGAGGTGGCCACGTTCCTGGCGGGCGGCGGTGGTGGCGACACAGTCTTTGCCAAGGCCGGCGTGGTGAAGGGAAAGGGAGCAAAGGGGAAAGGCATGTGGGACCCTTACGGTGGCTGGATGGAGGATGCCTACACGGCGTGGAGGAGCTACCCGTCCAGGTGGGATGAGTGGGCAGGCTGGTAAGCCGCGGAGGTCACGCATCAGACTGAGCCTGAAGTAGAAAAAGGCTGTGCGCTTGTGGGTGTGTCAGAAGTTAAGGGGCTAAGGTTTTGGGAAGTAGGGGTGCTTTGATCCACAAATCGTCTTAAGGGCCCTCAAGATGTTTGAGTTCTCCTTGCATTGTATGGAGCAGGTTTAGGAGTTCCCTCCTCCCCTCCCAACTCATGTTCGCCAAACAAGGCTGCCTCGATTTGGCTGGCATCAGGCTGCAAGGGTTGGAGTGCAAAGAATTGTCTTTAAATGTCTGCTTTTAGGTACCCTCACCTGTGTTGGGCCCTGACTACTCCAAAGTTCCCAAATACTCATCGCACTCAACATGAAATTGCCAGGCGACATGGGATTTCCAGTTTCAGGCAACCCCGCACAAAGGAATTTGAACATCTAGTTGGATGCCTCCCCCCCCCCCCACATACAAAATCCCAAATACGTTGCGCTTGAAGCATTCCCTTGTTTTGGACTTCAATTGTAGCAAAGCTGAACGGTTAGGGGAGCCCATAAAAAAGACATGCCCTTTTCTAAAAAAAAGCCGGTGTCTTTTTGCTATACCTTGTGGTGTTGTGCAATTAAGGGCCCGTGAGTTCAACAATCTTTTCAAATTCTCGGCTGAACATTCCTCTTTTTTTTCAGGAAAGGTCCGCAACTACATTCCCATTTGTCCTTGAGAACAGCTCATGTTAACCCAATACCCCAACGATGTGGATTCTTGAATGTTCAGCTGCTCCTGTTTCTTGCCCGTGCCCAGGAGATCCTATGCAATTCCCTTCGGAAGTGACTTGGCTTTGAAAGTGGGGCTGCAATTGTGGGGGTCCCAGATATTGAGTCTTATTCTCCCTTCAACTGAGGAACATGGGATTGAAAGTGCCTTCTACAGATGTGAGCCCTGGCTAGATCGGTGGGACCGGCAGCGTAGAAATCCGTAGAAATGTGTGCAAATGGCCTTTAAATGTGTGCATTTGATCTTTAAAATTCGTAGAATTCGTAGAAATAAATTTCACCTAATTTCACACAACCAATCACATGTTTAAAGGCCCTACATGGAGCGCTTGGTCGGGTCACTTTGAATTGAGAGAATTTGAAGGGGTGGCTTGCCAACTCTTGTGTTGTTGTGTGTGTGTGTTAGGCTCAGTTTGAAGGCGTGCCCCTTGGCTTGGCTGTGGCCATGCCGTCGATGAAGCTGAGCAGGGAAGAAGAGCGCGATCTACAGCAACTCATGCATCAGGAGCAGCTCAGCCGTGAAGATGCCCTTGAAGTGATGGAGCACCTGCAGGAGCTGGTTGACGCGGCCGGCGAGGAGACGAAGGCGAAAGCCAAAGGCAAAGCAAAAGCAGCTGAGGTGGGAGAAGATGAGGCGCCGGCGCCGAAAGGCAAGACGAAGGCCAAAGCTCAGAAAGCTGCTGAGGCTGGAGGAGGAGATGAGGTGGTGGCGCCGAAAGGCAAGACGAAGGCCAAGGCTCAGAAAGCTGCTGAGGCCGGAGGAGATGAGGCGGCGGCGCCGAAAGGCAAGAAGGCCAAAGCTCAGAAAGCTGCTGAGGATGAAGGAGATGAGGTGGTGAAGCCGAAAGGCAAGACGAAGGCCAAGGCTCAGAAAGCTGCTGAGGCCGGAGGAGATGAGGTGGTGGCGCCGAAAGGCAAGAAGGCCAAAGCTCAGAAAGCTGCTGAGGATGAAGGAGACGAGGTGGTGGAGCCGAAAGGCAAGACGAGGGCCAAAGCTCAGAAAGCTGCTGAGGCCGAAGGAGATGAGGTGGTGGCGCCGACAGGCAAGGCGAAGGCCAAAGCTCAGGAGGAGGACGTGGAGCCGGCGCCGAAGAAGTCAAAGAAAGGTGAGAAAGCATCTGGGTCTGCCCCCAGCCAGCCAAAGACAAAGGCAGCCCCTGAGAAGGGTGACGAGCTGCTTGAGGAGCTGTTCGGCGAGGACAAGGAGAAAGCGTTTGCGTCTTCAGCTAGCGAGGATGAGTCTGCCACGCAGGAGGCTACAGCGGAGGAGATCCATGCTTTGAAGCCGGCAAAGGCCCTGGCGAAGGACTCACCGGCTGCCCGCACGAAGGCTGTCCTAGAGAAGAACCAGGCAAACAAGCTTTCGCTGAAGCGGGGCAAGTCTAAGGTGTTTGCGCTGAGCGAGTTGCCGGCGATTGAGGACAAGGTGGATCCGGATGATTCTGCGGACACCCAGCAGAGTTTGTGGCCACCTGACAGTCCTGACAGTTCTTTGGAAATAGTTCTGGGATAGGTTTCGGGGCTAGGGGGATTTTATAGGTTGACAATTGGGACGAGTTTGGGGTGTGGAAACTCCATGGTGCCTTCATACATGTTTTGTTCCATCTACTTCCTGAACCAATGAATCAGGCAATGTTCAAGTTTAGGGGTTGAGTGCTGGTTTCGTGTTTTGTAGTTTTTTAGTGCTGGTTTCGTGGTTTTGTCCCTTTACGGCTAGAAAATCACAACTCATGAATCATGGACCGGAGGGCTGCCCTAAACCTCCTAGCAGGGGTCCCAAAATTTGAAAGGGTGGTCACATGCAACCAAAGTTTGGAACAACACGTGGGTATCCTGTGCTATATATACACGTTTCCCTTTTGCCCAGGTCATGCAGAACGTTGCAAGCCGGTCAAGCGCAACTGGAAGCTGTGAAAACCGTTGCTGAGTCGGTCCTCTCCCAGAAGTCTTTGACCAAGCATGAGCTGGAAGAGCAACTTGTATTCAACTATATTGGGACACCGGGGCCACATCTAGAACAACTTGTTTGTGGAACCAAGGAAGCTTGGCCCTTCTGCGAGCCAACTTGGGGAGGAACCGATCAAGGTGCTGATTGGTTTGCTCCAGGAGCATTTGGAGGGCGTGTCTGTCAAAGCGTCAAACGTTGGGACCAATGTGGATGAGCAGGCGGCAAAGCGAACCACACCAATTTCGGTGGTTGAATCAACCCCGGAGCAAAGCACCAAAAAGCGCAAGAAGCAAAGCCCTTTGCCTGACCGTCAGCCTGACACCCCTGACACACAGGAAACTTTGGCGCTGTCCCCTTCCCAGATCCCCGACGCCCAAGAAGAGCCGGCGCCACCAGCAGCCAAGCCAGCCCCGCCCTCGCCTACGGAAACACATGTTGCAACCGTGCCCCAATCTGTCTCGGCCATTCCGCGCGGCCAGCCCAGCCCTGCCCCTGAAAGCACTATGGTTAACTCCTCGACCCATCGCAAAGAATACGCCAAGTTGGTGCTTACCTCAGTCAATGGTTGGTTTAAATTGGGTTGCCCTTTGAACTAGTGAGGTTTCGTGATGCGCCACCTAAGACCCGGCTCATCAACAACGGCACCGTGGCCCATGGGTATCCGAACTGCCATGAGCTTGCCAATGGGTCTCTGAAAGTTTTTCGGATGCAAAATGCATGTGTGTGTTCAGTTGCAGCCCAACCCTGTACCCCTTCCCTTTTTCCTCCCTGTGTCTGCCGAGGATCGTCAGAAGCTGCTTCAGCAGTTCGTGTGCAACGGGCAGAACATAGAGGCCTGTGAGGGCAAGCTGGAGGCTTCGAAGACACAGGAGCTGGAGGGTAAGAAAAGGTACGCCCTGGTCCCAGTTAAGGACATGAAGAATGCCCCATGGAACTTTTCGCAGACCCTTCATCTGAACTTCAGTATTTTGCTGAACTGAGGCTACTTGTGCATCCAATGTTTGGTTTCATGTTTATGGTTTGAACTGCTGCATGCCACTAGGGGTTGAACTCATCTGAGGCGCAAGATAGCCGCCATCATAAGCAAAGGAGGGGGCATTGAGGATGAGGACTGCCCGGGAGTACTGGAGGAAACCAGGTTTTGGGTCTTGGCTGAGCACACCCGGACAGACACGGTGGCGGTGAAGACGCTTGGATCCATCTCATGCTCACTATAGTCGAAGTTATCAACGTTTGATCGTTTCATGTTTGAATTGCTCATCTCAGGATGCAGGAGTCGATGAGTATGAGAACAAGCGCTTCGCATGCTTTGACCAGCATCATGGGCACTGGCGTGAACCCTTCCCTCGAGAGGGCTCCAATTCGGTCACCTTCGGCGCCGCTATCTGGGGATGTTTTGAGGGCCTATGACAACTACAATCAGCAACTCCAGTCCCTTGTTGCCGATGAAGGCCAAGTTGGGGTGGTTTGGAAACTTGCAACTTTTCACTTGTCAGCTTGAATCCTGCAAGGTGCACCGCGGACCAACAAATCAGGCCAGGGCCAAAGCAAAAAGTCAGCACCGTCAGCCATCAGCCGATCCACCGCCAAGAAGCCGTTGCTTGAACAAACCTTCAACACGGAGAAAGAAAAGCACCAGCGCTGGAGCAGGGGTCCTATTTTTTTACTCAGAGCTTGGGCCCCTTGATCCAAACAATGCTGAGTTAAGTTGGAAACCAAGGCAACGAAGTGAAGAAAGAATTGAAAGACATTGCCGGCTTCTTGGTCGACATGCCCTCGGACAGCGAGTTGACGAAGACCCTCAAACGGCATCAGCGAGCCCTCAAAACGCTTGCCTCGAAGTGGCCCAGCTTGCAAACTGGTTCAGCCTCAAGGCCGAGGTTGCTTCCCCTTGCTCCCTCCCAGGTTCAAAGACCTGAAAACCTTCCAGGAGATGGAGCCTGCCTGCACGGAGATCGCACAAGAGGCTACTTGCCATGCAAATGGCTCAGTCAAAGGGTCAGGGTCCTTCTTTTCTTTTGCTTGCAGGTGCCCTTCTTGTTTGCGTGAAACCCCTAGCAAGATTTGACTGTCAATTGAATTGCCCTCAGAAACCAGGGAACCCGCAACCCTTTAGCGGTGCAGATATTATTTCAGTTTGGCCGCAAGCCCCAAACTCGAACCCTTTGAAACATTTTGGGATGGCTTCAAACCCCAAATCTGGACCCTCTCAAACATTTTGGGAAGACACCTCAAACTCGAACCCTTTGAAACATTGTGGGATGGCTTCAAACCCCAAATCTGGACCCTTTCCAACATTTTGGGAAGACACCTCAAACTCGAACCCTTTGAAACATTGTGGGATGACTTCAAACCCCAAATCTGGACCCTTTCCAACATTTTGGGAAGACACCTCAAACTCGAACCCTTTGAAACATTGTGGGATGGCTTCAAACCCCAAATCTGGACCCTTTCCAACATTTTGGGAAGACACCTCAAACTCGAACCCTTTGAAACATTGTGGGATGCCCAAACTTGGACCCTCATCTTGGGATGGCTTCAAACCCCAAACTCGAACCCTTCGAATTATTTTGGGGTGGCTCCAAACCCCAAACTCGAACCCTTTGAAACATGTTGGGATGATTCCCCAAACCGGAACCTTTGAAGCATTTTTGGATGGGGCCAAGACACATCCACACACACACACCCACGACACACACACACACAAAACACCCTTTGTGTACAATCACATCCCGCTTTGCCAAGGTTTCAGCTTTGAAGATGACGAAGGGCCAAGCCAAGGGGATGCTGAATGAGCTCAAGAAAATGTAGTTTTGAGTAGCCTTGCTTGAATCCCGCATTCATTTGTTAATCACTTATTTGCAGTAACCCTGACCTCAAAAACGCCTATACAAGTTGATTGCTGATTGCGATGCCCCCTTGAGGAAAAGGACTAGCTACACAGAATTACTGAAAGGTTGAAATTTGCACTGCGGGAATTGGAGCAGAGTGAAGTTTAGGAACCTGGCCGCAAAAAGGCTGGGCTTGCAAATCAGGGGTTGGCGCACTAGCCAGGAGTTACCACATGAATGGGATGTGGGCAACATCTCTTGGCTTCTGCCGCTTTGGGGTTTGGTCCAATTACGGCACGTTGGCGCAAGCTGGAAAAAGGGCAAGCTGAGCTTTGATGCAACAATCTTGGTTTCTGATTGGTGATGTTTTTTTCTAGAGCCAACAGGGTCTAAATTGGAAACGCAGGTACGAGCTGTGGAGCGTGCAAGCTGAGAGACGCCCTGGACAAAAGGTGACTTGGTTTAAAGCGAGTGTCGGTTTCGCGCCTCCTTGGCCCTGCCCAGGATCACCCAAGCTGCCTGCTCTGGAGACGCCAGCATTGCTCTCGCTTGTGACCTCGGCCGCTCGATTACTTCTTTCAAGTTTGCCATCAAAAACCCCAGAAACATGTCAACTAAGGAGACGTTTATCAATCTCAGCACCTACAAGGGTATGCCTCAAGGCCTCTTAGGGAGACAGAGTTTCATTCGCGGCTTCTTCGTGCTGGTCTCGCCCTGGAAGCAAAACCCTCATGGATTGATGCGCCCATGCGTGATGAGGACAGCAACTTGTACATTGGGAGCATGCCGATTATGTACCCTAGTGTTCTTGCAAGGGCCCTGATGGACGTTGGATTTCTGGACTTTGTGATTCCTCCTGATTGCTTGTCCTTGTACTGGAAACAGATCCTTCAAGATTTTCCACAGCATCCCCTTCATGGCCGAGAACAACAGTGGAAAAGAGCAATACCAATTGTCTTGTGGGGGGATGAGGGGACAAAGGGAAACAACAGCTGGATGCTGTTTAGTTGGAGGCTGGGAGGCATTTCCAAAGTCTTTCGTTTGTTGTTTACTTGGACCACCAACCTGAAAGTTTTTGGTTTTGCTTTGGAAGAGGGTGCTGAAATCTACTAAGGATGGTGGATGTGTCTTTGGTGAGGACTGACTCGAAGGCTTCGCGGCACATCATTTTCTCATTTCCTGTTTCCCGGTACGCCATCAACCGATCGCAAAGCGAAAACCTATCCCTTCAAGCTTTCTTCCGGGCTGCTGTGAATGATTTGAACGAGTTGGCCAGAACTGGCATTTGC